AATGTCGAGTGGTGCAACCAATCCAGGTCTATAAAGTATTTATTCAAATACGTCAACAAGGGACATGATCGTGTCACAGCTGGATTTTATGAGACAACTGGTAAAGATCACACTGACAAACCTGTTGATGAAATAAAACTGTACTATGATTGTCGGTATATTTCTCCATGTGAGGCAATGTGGAGAATTTATGGATTTCAAAATCAGTATAAGAATCCACCTGTTGAACGATTGAGCTTTCACTTCCACAATGAACAATATGTGTATTTCGAAGATGGTGCATCAGTTAATGATGTCGTGTTGCGTGAATCTGTTAAGGAGAGTATGTTTCTTGCATGGATGAAAGCAAATGCTAAGTACCCCGAGGCAAGGGATCTAACTTATGCGGAATTCCCAAAAAAGTTTGTGTGGAAAGCAAAAACAAGAGAATTTGTACCTCGACAAAAAGGATTTGCAATAGGCCGTCTAACGTATGTGCCACCGGGTTCAGGAGAGTCTTATTATTTGCGATGTGTGCTTAATTTGAAGCGTGGGGCTACAAGCTATGATGATCTGAGAACTGTGGATGGAATTATACATAATACATATCGCGAGGCATGTTTCGCTTTAGGGTTGTTGGACGATGACAAGGAGTACGTTGAAGGGTTTTCAGAATGTAGTTATTGGGCTACTGCATGGTTACTTAGAAAGTTGTTTGTGATTTTATTGGCAGCAGATACAATGAGTAGACCAGAATATGTGTGGGATAAGTGTTGTACATTTATGTCAGATGACATTCTACACAGGCAAAGAAGAGCGTTAATGCATCCAGGTACTAAACAATTTTAATTTCAAACATACATATACCTATACACAACTATGAATGTGTGTGTGTACACACACATGTGTGTGTGTTCATGTATATTCAAAAGCATACATTATATATTACACGTGTTATTTGATAATGGTCTTTTCATACGTGTAATATCAGATTTGAAGTTGACCGAGGATGAGATTAAGAATTATGCATTGACTGAAATAGAAATGATGTTGAGAAGGATCGGTAGGACTTTAAAGGACTATCCATCAATGCCATTTCCCACGATAAGTGATACTGCCATGTATCAAAACAAACTGATTTTTGACGAATTGCAATACGATCGTGCTGCTCTACGTGAAGAGCATGACAGATGCATACTGAGTCTCAATGATGAACAACGTCAGGTGTACACAACCATTATGCAATCTATTGAAAAAAACAGTGGTGGGGTGTTCTTTGTATATGGTTATGGAGGTACAGGGAAAACGTTTGTGTGGAAGACGTTGTCAGCTGCTTTGAGGTCCAAAGGAGAAATTGTTTTGAATGTTGCTTCAAGTGGCATAGCAGCTTTATTGTTACCAGGCGGTAGGACGGCTCATTCACGCTTTGCAATACCAATCAACCCTAATGAAAACTCCACGTGCAACATCAAATAGGGTAGTGCACTTGCTCAATTGATCATTCGTTGCAAACTGATTATATGGGATGAGGCGCCGATGATGCACAAGTATTGCTTCGAGGCCTTAGATAGAAGTTTGCGGGACATCTTGAGATTCACTAATTCAAATAGTGATGAAAAAATATTTGGAGGGAAAACTGTGGTATTCGGGGGAGATTTCAGACAAATTTTACATGTCGTTACAAAAGGAACTAGACAAGACATTGTGAATGCCACGATTAATTCTTCCTATATTTGGGCACAGTGCTCGGTATTACGTTTGACGAAGAACATGAGGTTGCAATCATTGACTGGTGATCATGAATATGAAGATTTGCTTGAGTTTGCAAAGTGGATTGCGAGTTTAGGGGACGGGAATGTGGGGGAAGATAATGATGGTTTTGCCGATGTTCAAATTCCAAAAGAGTTTTTGTTAGAGTGTGGAAGCGACCCCATTGCCACTATTGTCCATAGCACCTACCCAAACTTTGAGAATATTGTCAATGACCCGACGTACTTGCAACACCGCGCAATCCTGGCTCCAACCCTCGATGTTGTAGATGCAATCAATGAATACATGACTTCTCTGAATGTTAACGAAGAGTCAAGAACCTATCTGAGTTCAGATACCATTTGCAAGTCAGACTCCAATGCTGATTTTCTGGCTGATTTACATACTCCAGAATTTCTGAACAAAATAAGAGCGTCTGGAGTTCCAAACCATGAGTTAACCCTCAAGGTTGGTACTCCAATAATGCTTTTAAGGAATATTGATCCATCGATGGGGCTTTGCAATGGAACAAGGTTAATTGTTACACGACTTGGAAATCACATCATAGGGGCAAAAATCATGGGCGGCAAATATGCGGGACATGAAGTTGTCATTCCGAGGTTGAGCTTAACTCCTTCAGATTCAAGAATACCGTTCAAGTTTCAACGAAGACAATTTCCCGTCATGACCTCTTATGCGATGACTATAAATAAGAGTCAAGGACAATCTTTGACTCATGTTGGACTCTTATTGAAAAAGTCGGTGTTTACACATGGTCAACTTTATGTTGCAGTGTCAAGAGTAACAAATCCTAAGGGTTTGAAGATATTAATATGCGATGAAGATGGTCAACCAACGTACCATACCACAAATGTTGTTTATAAAGAAGTTTTTCGCAATGTGTAGACTGTGAAACACTATCTAACATTTCCTTTTATCTACTTATTCCAACACATACTTACTATCTATCTCTGAGTTTTCAATATTCAATTAAAAGTTCTAATGCATGTTTCGAGTAACACAATTTCCAAACATTTCACACGCGTACATTGTTTACAAATAATATCATATCACTATTTCATTCTTATATCCCGCGCATCGCACGGGTGAGAATCTAGTTATGGCAAGAGAAGAATCATTGTTCTTCATTTTATCTATCATAAGTAAACAACTTTTACCAACCGTACATACTAGGACGGAGCACGGATCTGGGATTTCCCGCTCCGTACCGAGAACCATCCTGAACTGTACCAGAACCGAACGAACCGGAAAAATATAATATCATATCGTACTGTACCGCTTTTTTAAATAATATGGTACAGTACTGATTCTTAAGTGAGAACCATCACAGAACCGTCCCAAGACCGTATTGAACCAGATCGTCTTGAACCGTCCCGTATTGTCCTGAAATATTGGTTATACAAAATAATATGTACTTCGAATATATTATAGTACCTCCATTCCTGAAACAACTTCCCATTTCGGATTATGATGCTTGACTGACGATAATGCAACTTAATCCATGTTCACACTCAGATTATTTCTAGTAAATAAAATTTATATATTCAGAAACTACATTAAAACCGCTACAAGGTCTGATAAAAAATGTAAATTTGATATACTATCCTCCGTTCCGTTTTAATTGCAACATGTTGAATTTTACATTATTCACATGTTCTACTTTGACTATATTTTACGCTATTATTTTATGAAAATTATTTTTTCAAAAAAATATTGTTCAATTCATCTCATTACAAATTTTCAAAATCTGATTTTTAATATATTTTTTACTAATAGAATTAAGATATAATTACGGTCAAAGATGTGCGTTGGCAAATGTGAAATGTTGACCGTTGCAACTAAAAAAGAACGGAGGGAGTATAAAGCAAAAGATAGAGTGATTTAAGTTGACCATGTGAATAGTGAATGAGAAGTTAATTTTGGAACGGAGAGAGTATTATTTATTATATTAGCCAATAATCTACGTTGTGGTTACTCAAAGCTTTGGTATAAACCGTATAATGCACACTCTTTGAGCCCCCAATACAATTATTTAGTGTGCTAAATTTTATAACTGATACTAGTAATAACTATGATGTCGAACATGTAAATCTAGTTTAGTTACTTTGTCAGTAACCTCAACCACTTTGCATCCTCGAAGACGAGAACTATAATTTTATTATAGTTTGATTATTACTCCCTCCGTCCCGTTGGAATGTTCCCGCTTTCCTTTTTTGGATGTCCCGTTGGAAAGTTCTCATTTCCCTAAATGGAAAGTTAACCTACATCAAAACAGGATCAAACAGTGCAAAACAGTGTCAAACAGTGTCGAAACAGTGTCAAACAGTGTCGAAACAGTGTCAAAACAGTAAAATTTACCCCCTGATAAGTTTATTTCCTTAATATGTGTGTAGGTCAAACCGGGAACATTCCAACGGGACGGAGGGAGTAGTTTTGTATTTTAGTTAGATTTGATTGCACAAGGTTAGTTTCACGTAGACTTTTTAATCATTCATGCAGTCCCTTCTCTTAAATTTTCGTATACTTGCTTATAAATGCTATAACCTAAAATATTTTTGACTTCGTGGGAGTTAAATATTAAAGAATCGAATAATGCTGAAGAACCGTACTAAACCATACTAAAAATGGGTACTGAACGTGACAAGTTCTATAATATATTCATAACGGTACTGGTTTTTTTATTTTTAAAAGAACCGTGCTTTGGGACAAGAGTACGAGACAAGTTTTTGAAATAACCGTCCTGTAATATTCCATGCTCACCCCTAGTACATACTACTACCTCCGTCCCAAAATAATCATCCTGGTTTGACCTTCACACAGATTAAGAAAGTGAATTTGACTTCACATTGTAACGACATTGTTTGACGCTGTAGCGACACTGTTTGACACTGTAATGACACTGTTTGGCACTGTTTTGCACTGTTTGACACTGTTCTGTATAGATTTGTTTAACTTTTTTTTACCTTATTTGTTACCAAATAAGAAAATGAGACAATTATTTCAGGACGGATCGAAAAGTAAAGCAGGACAATTATTTCGGAGAGAGTACATACCAAAGGGAGGCGGGAGGTAGTGGTGGGGCCCAAGTTTGCAGCAAGTAGTTCAGTACCGGTATGAACTATGAATCATTCTTGTTACGTTGGCAATTAGTTGGACAGGCACTAAGCAATCAGCAATATGAAATTATGAATCCAAAGCGAACCATGTATGCAGACCCAGTCCCAACCCCCCTCCCCCCTTCCCCAATACTGCGGTGTTTGGACATGACAGTTTATCCTTGCTTGTACAGTGTACCCAGACATGGTAAAAGTGGAAGCTGAGGGCAACATTGTCCCCATCATACATTTTACTTGTTCCAAATATTACATCCACAAAAAATATAAATGGGCAAGTTAACATAGTTGCTCCAGTCCAATGAACAAAATAGATATATGGCATATCCTCCCCCACACTGCCCCCGTCAAACAAACATAAAACTTAACATATTGTTTACACAATTGATGTACAAAATGGATTTTACATAGGGGAGGATATGCCCATATTCCTGCGAACGCTGCAAGCATTCTCGCCTCTTCAATACTCTGAACATAATCCATGGTGAGGTTGCAGTAGGCCACAGTTACAATGTCATAATCTCAGCCAATTAATGAAACAATCTCTCTCTTATATAATCCAAACTTCCTCGCCAAGAGCAAAATGATAGAGTAAGTTTCATCAGAGCATTCTGTTGTTATCTAGGGTTGATGAAGAAGGTTTGACCAGGGTGCTGATCCTCTCATTTTGGTCAGACCCAAAGAGAAGACTACTCCAATCTTTTGGCCTTTCCACAAACCTGCTAGGAACTTGGTCACTGTCTTCCCCACCAGATGCATCATACCCATCACTAGTTGATCTTGAAAAGGGAATTCCCTTGTGTGCGGTCATCATTCTGGATGTTGAAAGCCCAACAGAATCTCTACCCTCTTCTGCTCCAGATGACGATCTCCGGAAAGGGCGAATGTCAGGGGAGTTGTCCAAACTGCTCTCTAGGGATGAAGCAACGATGCCTCCTGAGCTGGATATTGACCCCCGGTTTGTATGAAATGTGGTTCTTGCTTCAAGATGAAGCGGGGCCAAGCCCGCACGCTTGCTGGGCCGCCTTTTCTTGTTTTCAGGCTTTTGAAGCCCATAACTGATGTTAGCTTCACCATCAAGATCATAAAGTGCTTGCTGTTGTCTCACGACGGGCTGAAGAATTTTTGACTTTTTTCTTGCTTCGGCTGCAGCCTTTGCCACATCCTCTCCATTCAGCCGTGCTAAGGTCCATGGACTTATCTTTACAGCAGCTGGATTCCTCTTTTTTTTAACTGGCTCCTCACTCGCAATCTTCTTTCCAAGTGAACTAACAGACCCATTGTCTAGAGGGACTACATCATACTGCATGCAATCAAAACTATATTAAAACTTAATGCCTTTATTGTTGCAGTACAAATATACATATATAGTAGAAGCAATCATAATAGAATGGACATTCTGCGACTATTTTCATGCTTTAATTTGACATATACGCCCGAGTTATGTTCTGAATCTATCAAGCTTTTGGGATTTAAAAGAGGTTTAAAATATTTTAAATTCCTTGAGCTGTAGAATGTTTTGTTTTAGGTCCTTGCAAAACATTTTAGTTTTTTCGTCCAAGTAATTTATGGTATTTTCTTTGCAGTCCTTTTATAACTTTTAGGCAATAATGCTTAGTGTTCCTCACTTAACTCTATTTAACTTTCTGTTTCAAAATTTACGACTCTTTGGAGACTTAGTTAATACTAGACGAATCACATTTTCAGTAAAGGTCTGTTTTTTTGCGAACAAACAGCAAGTGTTTTCAAAAAAATGACATGACTAGAAAAATAGATTGAAACCATGTTAGTAATGTCAATTTTTTTGTTAAACAGAGGTTGGCACTTGGTAGAGGGTTGGAGAGGAACTAAAAACAAAATCATGTAAACTGCAAGGATGACTAACAGCAAAATAACATTCAGATAACCTGAAACAATAAACACTATATTTACAAGCACAAACCATATTTAAGCCTAACATATAATCTTATACTCCTTTGTTCAGAGTTTTATTTATATATTGAATCTTTGCCATCAGTAAATAAATAGCCATCATTATATAATCATGTGAACATAAATATAATCAAACATAATGTGCACGGCTAGACCATGAAGATCAAGGGACTGAAGACAAACACAAAAGCATAATCAACAACGTTTTCAGCATCATCACCTAAGCACGACATTCAAAAAGCTGAATAATAATAAAGAAGTGATATGGTACCTGATCTTCAAGAAAGAGGCGAGGGGGAGTACACCATGCTGCTTGATGGTAAGTATTGAAGGAGCTGGAACTGCTTAAGCCTGTTAGGGAACTCACAGTTGACATCTGAGGACTTTGTTGACCTCCAATCCCCTGTTCTTGCTCTCTCAGTGCCATAATATAATCATATGTACTAATTCCCTGGGTGATTGTCAAAAGTACACATCTTGTCAGGTTTTCATGAAACACCAAGCTGTGGTATCATAAGACATAATTAAACGCGATAGAACCCAGATTTGGGCTGTGACTTGTGAAAACAGGCCCATAAGTCACTTGGGCCAAACCACACTAAGAGATCAAATTGAACTTATTAGCCAGTTCAAACCAAAGTCATATTAACCATTGTGTCTTTACCTATCCAATGTCGGAATATAGCAAGTTGGGATAAAAACATGAAAATTTACATAAAATATATTGGATTAGCTGACATTACATGTTATGACGGTGTACCAAGCACCTAAGTTCAATAATGAGAAAGAAATCTGACCTTTTTAATGAGAAGTATGTGAAAGAAGAAAAGCTGAGCGAGTGGAAGCGTTGCAAGCATTGCCAATATGGTGCAGACCGCCTATCATGAAGGGAACACTTCTTTTAGAAACATTTAACCTTCCCATCTCGTTTCATTTAATTAACAAAGCATTCACCACAACCATAAGTGGCAGGCTATGACTATATGAAAATACTACACTTTTGGTCATATGCCATTTTTACTCAGTCAACTTCCACTTTAAGCGCACAGGTGCACAGTGCACTTTATCGATTCCTGGCCACTTTTGGTCCTTCTGGTAATTTGTCTGGCTAGTTTCCTACAAGTTTTGGTTGGTTTTTGTAAGACAAGTTATCAGAATGACCAAAAGTGCCAAGAAATCCATAGTTGTGTACTGAAATAGAAAACAGCAAGGGACAAAAAGTGTGAAGGACCTAATATTTGTGGGACTGTGGGTAGAATATTTGGGCAATAATACTCACCACAACCATTACATAAGGAACCACAGAGAAACTGCTGCCTAGCTTAGAGGTTATATCCACTGAAAATCTCTTCTTCTCAACAAAGCAAAGGATCAGAACAAGGATTCCAGTTGACCACTGAAGTATAAGCTGCAATCTCAAGTCCAAGGTGCGTAGACCTGTCAATTACTAATCAAATAAAAAATGTTTTGAAAGTAAAAAATGTTTGTTGTGATTAGAACCTCCATTTCAGATACTTTTGTTTTGGTAGAAACCACAAAACCCATATTTGATCCCAGACTGCATAAAATTTTCATTATACCCTTACATCCACTCCAACCAAACAACTAGGGTCTTTGGATTTAAGGGTACAGTTGACCGTTTATGTGGTTGGGGTCAAATGTAAATTATTCCGATTATGTCTGTCATGGAAGTCAGGGCCATCTACAGAATAATCTGGAGACTGATGGTCATGCAGCATGACCCAATGGAGAAGAAGTTATACATACCAATAAAAGAGCTGATACCATGAGGGTGAAGAATTTTCTATAGTTCCTCTTCCCAACACAATTGTTTAGCCACTACAAAAATCATTTATAGTCTCATACTCTCATAACATCTACACAGATAAGGATAGAGAGTAAAGATAAAAAGAGCAGATACTAAGAAATAACGAAGCTTTTATTGATGGTGGTAAGGAAACGAAAAAATCTCTCTCCAGTCTTGTTTAATATTTAAAAGGCATATTAGGGTGGTCCTAACTAAAAGTAACTTGTGTACTATCAAACACATTAAATTTTTCCTTCCAAAATTTTCCCTCACAAAAACTAGGCTAAGTACTCTCCATAGAAATGCTCAAGGGCATAATAGGAAAGTAAAAATCATTTTAAATGTTCTTTATCATTTCCTTGGTCTGATTGAAAAGTGAAAACCAAAATCATGTCTTTAGAGTAAGGACTAGAGAGAATAAACAAGACCTTCAAAGGAAACCCTTCAACATGATAACTTGGCCACAGAATTATTAAGCACAATACTGAATGTTATTCCTAATTGATATCCTCCTCTTATTCTTCTACAAAAGTTCTATTTATAGTCTTAAGATATATAGAGGCCGTTTGGTGAGCCTGTTTTTTGGCTTATCAACCAACTTTTTTCACCAAACACGTAACTTTTGATTTCGCGCGCTGAATTCTATACTAATAAGAAAAAGTAAGGTTGGAGTTACTTTTCTGGCTGCATTGGCTGAAGTTATTGTAGAGGATCATTTTAGCTATTTTTAATATAATTTTTTCTTTATTTTATTAATAAAATATATTTTATATATAATTTTTTCATAAATCAGCAGAATCAGCCAATACAGCCACTTCAGCCAAAACTTCATAAATATCAGCAGAAACAGCCGATTCAGCCGATTTCAGTGTTACCAAACGGGCTCATAATAATGGCAAGTCAACCAAATATTAATAAGATCCCTAAATTTATATTCTATATAGATCCAGAATTGAGATTCATTATTTTTTGGCTTGAGATTATGATGGAATAAAGCAAAATGGCTCACTACACCGTCTGCGCTTCTTTGTTATGAAGCAGCAGTCAGTCCATGCAATTTTGGACGGGATTTTCACTATGGGTCATCCGGAAACAGTCTCTCTGTGATTTAGTACAGAGGTAAGACTGCGTACATCTGATCCCCCCTTACCCCACCATAGGTGGGAGCCTTTGCAGCACTGGGGTAAATGAAAATGATGATAGATCCAGAATTGCATGCTAACGAGATTCCCTGAATTCACTCCCTAATTTCTTCGAATAACTGTTGTTGTTTTACATCCCTAATAAGCTACTATACGATGTGTGATGTTAAGATTCAAATTATATAACGAATTACCCTGCAATGATGATCAAACCGGTCAACACATTTATCACATACTCTGCAATGCTTGCTGTATCTGAACACCTGCAAAAGGATAGTAAATAAAGCCTCACATTATCCAATCGAATATTTTCAATCACGAGTTCAAGACTATATTTTATAACACACAAAATAATTTCACCCTTAAGACTCACCTCAACTTCACACAAGCTGCAATAGAACATGCCATCTTCACTAGTTTGTAGGTCAGAAGGCTCTTCACATCGATTTGAACAGCATCTAGAAGCACATGGAAGTAAAGGGAGAAGCATAGAAGAGCACACTGTTGGGTGAGAAGAATCCTCACTTTTCTCTACAGATTGATCAAGATGATTTGCAGCTGCTTGAGCTTTGCTTTTTTTGTTAAAGGACTTCTCCCCATCAAGCACTGATGAAGTTGACTCCGTCCCTAGTTTAAAATCCTTTGTTTGGAAATGTTTTTTGTGATCAGGAATCTTAAGATACTTTTTGGACTTGAAAACTCCTCGATCAGCAGGATCCGTGGCAGCACAGCATATATATAGCCCAAACACAGACATAATCTAGTAGATAATTAATAAAAGATGTCACTTCAGTTGCACATATACTATGGATTGGGAAAATACTTCAAAGGGTCTGTTTGGAGCTTGGAAAATGCCAAGGAAGGGAAACAGAGAAGGAAATACAAGGCAAATTGGGAAGCAAAGAGTATGTGAGAGAGTATTAATCATTTGTTCAAACTCCAAACTTCATAAATTTGTTTTTTATATTTATTCAAACTCTTTTTCTTTACCTATTTGTATTCTTTGAAGAAAAGAAGTCTAAACATATGTAAATTATTAACAAACATTAACCATACTTCATTTTTCTGTACATTTTCCATGGTAAAACAAAATATGAAATCCCTTAGAATCTTTTGTGCTTTCCTTAGCACTTTCTGGGATCCAAACATACCCTAATACAGCATTTACTGCTGTATTTACTGCCAATTAGCCATCTAGGCTAAAATTGCATAACAAATGTGCTTCGCATTCATGGCTATACATGTAGATCAGATATAAATTTAATTTCTCACTTTACAGAATAAAATTGTCATGAATGGCTTCCATTGCCTAGTAACACAATAGGTTTTCACAGGGGGAACTCAAACAAGGTCAAATGGCAAAATCCCTTCAGTCCAAGAGCCAAATTCAAAATATTTGGTTAGTATAAATTCAAACTTAGAAGCCAATCAGAAAGTACAGATGTACTAGAATAAAGGCCAGATCTAAAAAATCCAGAATCTGAAATAGAAAGAAAAGGGGAGAAATCTTAAAATGACTTACAAGAGGTGTATAAATCCCCATCACAATGTACTGAAACAATTTCTTCCCTACAAAAGGTGCAAAAAACACATAGAAGGCAACACTCAATGCCATGAACACAGCAACAGCTACCACCTGGATTTACACGCATGTAATATCAAAACATTGGCGCAGAGCTCTATGTATAAGTTATTTAAGTCAAAAATGAAAAGAGTAATAGGTATTGATGGATACCTGGAGAGGATGGTAGGGAAGCTGCCACCCATGCTTCCTCATCTTTGCAGATTGAAGTTGAAATGTTGCAGGAAATATGAAAAGGCACAATTTTAGCACCCCTAATTTCTTTGCTTAATTGCACTTTCCCTTAATTTCATGGAAAAGTGAGACCGGTTGCATACTCATCACACCAAGAAAAGCGAATCCCACATTTCCCACTTTCTATGGGTCTAATCAATTGGTGACAAGAAGTAAAAGCGCACAAATTAACCAAAGCAAGAAAAGAACAGCACAACGAAAAGCTGGTGGAGGAGGAGAGAAAACTTAACTACTAACTGGATGCGAGTAAATGGGTAACTAGCTTTGTCTGGTAAACTCAATGGTAACCCATATCCCCACTCACATTTGAACAATGGAGTTGAGAGGGAGGGAGAGTTTTTGAGGTTTTCAACATTGAAATACTGAAATAGCTTTTGGGTATTACCCTTTTCTTGTTTCTTTAACTTTTTTTGAAAAGAAAAAAAGAGATCGGTTCGGGGAAGGAAGACTTCTGGCGTTGGAAGAGGTAATGGGGACAGAGATTGCTGATCTGTAGCTGTTTAGCTGAGAGAGAGAGAGAGAGAGAGAGAGAGAGAGAGAGAGAGAGACCACTGGTGTAGAGCAGAGTGTATAGACCAGACCGTAGCATATGGATTCGATGTCTCGTATAATTATTTTATTTATTTTAAAATACAGAGAAGAAAGTTGACCGCAACCAAAACACCATATCGCCCCACTTCTATAGAAGGTAATAAAGCTGCACATAATGCACCTCTTTTAGTTTAGGGTTTGGCAGATTTATTTACCAATACTTTATCCCAGCAAGGACGAGCCCGACTGTCAACTTGTCAAATGTTCATTGGAGAGTGTCTTTAATCTTCAATGTTTGGTTTGGATTGGATCTTTTGTACAATCTTTATACGTAGTACTCCCTCCGGTTTTATTAAAGTTCCCAGTTTGACTTCACACATATTAAGAAAATGAATTTGACTTTACTGTGGAGTGCACTGTTTGGCACTGTTTGGACACTGTTTGGCACTGTTTTGCATTGTTTTGTTTCCTAAAATAGAAGTGTGAACTTAAATAATGGACATCCCAAAAAGGAAAGTGAGAACTTTAATAAGAACCGAAGGGAGTATGAGATTTCTTTCTAATCTATTACTACCTCCCTTTCGCTATGATTATCTCATTTTACCATATCGGTTCGTTCCACTAATATTGTCTCATATCAAATTTGATAAAGTTTGTGTGCTTCTAAATCATTCTTATTTTATTCTTCATTTATCAATTCAATATTAAACACATGAACCACTTTTTATTAATTTGTGTGTCACTCCCTTTTGTCCCATTATTAGCGGGACAGAGGGAATATAATATTTGTTCTATGTTAAGATCAACATCTTTAAACTATGATGCATTTGAACGTATGATCTCCTTCATGGGAGTGTCACTGTGATCCCATCAAACCACAAGGTACTAGCAAAAACAATTTGATGAATGTGATGATAATGACACCACTTATAAATTTAAAGTTTCTTTTGAGATTGAATATTTCAATTATAATGGACCATTCTATTACATCTATTGAAACTATATTTGATCTTTTTTTTCTTATTCAAAGGAAATAACTTAATTAGTATTGATAAATGTAACAAGAAACATAATAACAGAAATCAAAATAATGCAACTATAGTGGTCAATGTCACACTAGGGTGAGACAAAGAACAAAAAAAACTCTGTAGAGACACTCCAGCTTGCTAACCATGCAACCATGTAGACTCGTACCGTAGTGTGACCACTACATGTGGGCACGATTCGGGACGATCCAATATTTTGCCGAACTCGTACCTGTACCGTGACTATTGAAACAGTCATGTCCGGTTCGATCTTAGACTTAAATCTGTTCGGTAAGATTCCATTTTCAAACGGGACGGTACCATGTCATACCAATACCAAACAATGCCATCTTTCGAATGGTTTAAGAGGAAATTAAAGTTTAGCCATCCTCCAAAAATTCAGACAATTTTTCAATTTTCACATTACATAATTAATAAATTTCAGATAAATTATAGTAGTACAAAAAATAAATAACAAAGCATTAATTTGAGATGTACGTTTATGTTTACTTTAATTTGAGATATACAAAACATAAATTCACATAATGATATACACGTTCGTTTAAACCGTACTTCAATTCGGTCCGATTCGGTCCAGTATGTACCGGTTCTCATTTTTTGAGAACCGGTCATGACATGGTTTGGAACCGGTACGGTTCGGGGCAAAAAAATTGAGAACAGTTTGGAATCCCGTTTTTCGTTTCGGTACCATACTGGTCCGGTTTGGTACCATGTCGCTTCAGTATTTTTGCCCACCTTTAGTGACCACTCATGCTACTCAAAATAGGTACGATTTGACCGGTCACCGAAAATGAATTCTTAAACTTTCCAGTTTTTCCAGTCACCGGTCACCGGTAAGGAGCTAAGTGCAGAAATTGTCTTGATTTAACCAGCCAACATAAAGAAAGCAATCCATGCAATCACATCTTCCTTGATTTGTGGTGGTTCAGGAGGGGGCGCGAATGCGCGATCGGCCTTGATATTGGTGTGGAAGAAATCAAGATTCGTGATTAATGAAGAAATAAGTACAAGCTTCTTACCCGCACAAAAGAACACCCGACTAGTGATAGCAGAGAATATACATCTGATAAGCGACACTCTGTCACCGAAAATAACATTTCTAGGCAATGCTAGAAAATAAATGTATAGGTAAAATTGAAAATACTGATTAAACAACATATTATTCATTATTGAACCCAAGAAAAGATTAAAAGAAGGGAAGAAAGAAAGAAAAGAAGAGGTGGCCACTATGGTTTCCCCATCCCGGCTCCTCTCTGTTCGTATAGCTCTCTTGAGTTGATCAAATTCTATCTTATCAAAAAAAATTCTTTTATTTGACATACTCCCTCCGTTCCGGTCATTTCTTCCAATTTTCCTTTTTGGGCCGTCCCAATTAATTCTTCCAACTTTCCTAAAAAGGAATTCAACTCATATCAAAAACCCTATTTTACCCTCCCTAATAAAAAAAAACATTTCTCACTCCCCTTCCCTTTTACCCGTTCGCATCCCTCTCTCTCTCATTTACTCCCACCCGCATCCCTCTCTCCCATTTACTCCCACCGCCTCCTCTATCTCTGTCACTGCATCTGTCTCTCTCAATTACTCCAACCGTCTCTCCCATTTACTTCCTACATCTCCCCCTCTGTAAATCTATCTACCCTTCCACCTCCCCCTCTCTCACATGTTTATGGATCTAAACTCTAATACTTTGAGTATGGAGATATTGAACGCTTCATCGTCCCTGACAGTGAAGAGGTTGTTCTTCCGGAGGAAGCGGTGGCGTTGGACACAGATGACTCTGTATTGGTACTCCATCTGAGGTGCATGGCTCAGAACTCCCCGGCAGAGGATGCCCTCCTCATCATCCCGGACAGTGAAGAAGAGCTTCCCGAGGATGTAAGCGAGAAGCCTGCAGAGGTCGTGGGGGAGACGGTGGACACAAATCGGCTTAAAAGACGCAGAGACATTGACATGCATCCTATTCGGAGAAGTCCCCGACTGGAGGAGTTCCTAAAAAAAATTCCAAAATGGGAAACAAGGATGTGGGACGTGGACACAGATTTGGGGAGTTTCTTCTATACCGTATCTTCATTTATGGTTTAATTCGTACTCTATGTCCATTGTGTGTAATTTGGGGGAAGCAATGATGAAAAATTGTTTTTTTTATGTTTATTGTGATGCATGTGGGTTGTACATGGTGGTTTGGTATTATAAATGGTAGTTAGGCATATTGTGATGAAAGTATACCTTGTGTGTACTTGTCCTTTATGCATACTGTCATTAAACTGTCATGAAAGTATACCCTGAGTGGTATGCTATGATGAAAGCATTAGGCTGTGATATGGTACTCTATGCATGCTATGATGACCATATGATAGTGTTTGGGTGGTTAATGCATACTGTGATGACCATGACCCTCATATGTGGTATTTTATGCATACTATGATGAGCATATGAAAGTATTTTGGTAGTTTAAGCATACTGTGATGACCATGATCCTGTGATGTGGTACTTTATGCATACTATGATGACCATGATCAGTACTTGTGTGTGATGTGTATGCTGATGTTGTAGTTATTCATAAGGTCTGAGTGTGCTGTTCTTGTCCCAAAATGATGAAATCATTATGACCATTGCTAGATCACTATGCTTCTACTATTACAAAATGTCTGACTATGCTTGTACTTCTACAAAAGGTCTGAGTATGCAGCATGTATTACAAAATGTCTGAGCATTTTAGTACTAATTCTAAATGTCTGTGTGTCCTGCAAAATTAAGGCATGTACAAAAAACAAAAAATTTAAGGCCTATTATGTCTAAGCATGTACTTCATCAGTGAAGATGATGATCATCATCATCTTCTTCAATTATGAAGTTCCTCTGACTTTCAGTATCCCCTGTTTGTTGCCCTAGAATCTGTTCTGTTACTTCCAATAATTGAACATCTACCTCAATTGTTTTTGGAAGTATCCCTTCTGACTGCATCCTATCCTTTGCATTGTGTGGTAGCTTGTAATTGTTGCCTCCCTGCACTTTCAGAACTTCAATCATAACATACTGATAGCTTAGCCAAACTTTGTTTAGAGTCATAGGTGATAGTTGTTTGAAAGCATCATCCACTGCATGTAACAGTTCATCCACTGTCTTGGGTGCATTCTGGTCTTTCAAAGATTGTATTGCCCTAAAAAACCCTAGGTCTAGAATGTTAAGGTCCGGAGAATTGGGGGGCTGGTTAGTAAGGGTGATTGTAAACCCATCAGCCATGGAAGCACTCATATACTCTGCATCATCATGTTGATTAACATGTCATTGAACACTTTCTTTGTTATGCTAAGAATAGGCTTGGTTTCCATAACACCTGCATGTCTTTTTTTGCTTCTTCTTTTTGCTGCAACCTGTTCAACAAATGGAGACATGCCTATTTTCCATCCCAAATGACCTCACCACTTTCTGAAAAAAGGGGCCTACCCACTGACCCTAAGGACATGACCTTAGTTATGAACCTCTTTGATTTGCATACTCTGTGTGGATCAGCCTCTTCCAACCCCATGTATAATCTTTGAGATGTTTTTGTCATGAAAAACCATTTTTCATCAATGTGAATCACATTCTGAAATGTTTGAAAGGTAGGCTTCTGTGGCACTGACTTCTCTATCTGACTAAGACGGAACTTCAATCTTTGCAATTTATTTGCATCACATAGAAATGGCTTTATTGCATTTATATGCCTTCTGATGTTACCACTTTGAACCAATATGTGGACACTTGACTTTGATATTGAGGTGGCAACTGCCAAGGACCTTATGGTAGTCCTTATGCAGTGGGATCTGTGATACTTTAGATAGATCAAATTCTATCCTTTTTCTGCCATGGTACTTCCTACACACATTTACTGCATCACCTTGTACAACTTGCTTTTTAACTGTGTCCCAAATGCCAGAAATAGTTCTTCTGGACACTTCATACTCTTCAGCAAGTATGACAAAAATACCTTTCTGAGCTTTCAAGTACCCCAA